ACCTTAAGGCTCATGGACCCCCATAGTGAAAGCCCAAACCTTAGCCCCCAAAGCCCAAACCTTCCCCTAGAAAGCCCATAACAGCAATAAGAGCCTTAGGGCTTAGAGCTTAGGGCTGAGACTTTGGGGTTACCTTGGTTGTGTGAAACACGAGACCGACTTGATGGTCCTGGGGTTTAGGGTTTAGGGTTTAAGGTTTAGGCGAGAAGTCTCAAGTCACTCTTAGAAGGGGCCATGTACCCAAACCTTAACCGCAAATAACCTACCTTTTTCAGGACTTATATAAAGAAAGTATAATAAGGAACCCCGAAAATGCAGGTTCTTTAGGGTCCAGGAATAGTATAGCCTTTGACCCCCAAGTGCGACCCTGAAGGTCCAAGGGGCCCAAACAGTAGGCTTTAGGTCCCAAAATCCATAATATTTGGCGTTCTTCTGGCTGGCTCTTCGGACTTTAACTTCTGGGGTTTCTACATGAACTATAATATGGAGGCGAAAAGTTTAACATTTAGGCGGGTTCAGAAGCTGGGTACGTGGGACCCTTAGGGCTTATAAGGGTCCACAGAGCTTCCAAAATTCCTTGATTAAGGAATATGTTTCAAAAATATAGTAGGATCCCTAATATGATTAAATGTTAAAGTATGTTTGTATGTTTCTTAATTTGTTTTCAAGATATAGTTACATCCCTAAGGGATGATTTTGGAAGGTCTGGGGACATTCTGAGGTCTGGGCCCCCTCGGCGTGAACGTCGCCGAGCTCACCGGGGACTGGGCGTCGTCGGGTCTAGGGGACAATAAGATCCTATACTTGCAGCCCGTGAAGCCCGGGTAGGTCAGGGTTCAGGGGAAAGGGCTCTTTAGCGGGAGCGTTCCTGTGTATGTATATATATATATATAGATAGAGAGAGAGCTAGAGTATGGTCGTGTGAAGGACTCAGAGCGTATCCCTAAAGGTCCGAACAGCCGATGTTAGGGTACGGTCGATTTTTGCAGTATAGTACTTCCCAGAGACTTTATCCCTTAATTAGGGAATATAGGTTAAGATTTAGTAGGATCCCTAATATGATTTAAAGTATCTTCCTTAATTAAGGGATATTGGAGTCTCTGGGTTGAAGCCTCAAGCCCGATTACTCGGGCACTTAGAGGTGAAGGGCATCAAACAAATAGATACATCCCGGCTACGTGCATCCTTCTTGTCCGTATTCATGGTGCCCAAACCCAAAGGCTCCATGTACCCAAATAGTAGATACTGGGCCTTAAAGCGGTCCCTATATAGGTACTTAAGGCCTACGTGCATCCTTCTTGTCCGTATTCATGGTGCCCAAAGTCAACTACGAAGATCCTGTAGTTTATTGCACTCTGATTCTGTGTCTGCAAGGCTTGCCGCTGAAATCATACTTACAGTGAGGGCCTAGCAGCAGTAGCAAGTAGGAGAGGCAGTATAACTTGCAGCAGTTGTTGTAATAGCAGTACTTGCGATTTTAACAGTCGTACTCGCAGCAGTAGTAGTAGTAGTAGTAGTAGTAGTAGTAGCAGTAGCAGTAGCAGTAGTAGTAGTGGCAGAAGCAGCAGCAGCAGCAGCAGCAGCAGCAGCAGCAGCAGTAGTAGTAGTAGTAGTCGGTCCCTGGATTGATTTGAAAGGACATGAACCTGACCAAGAAAGAGCTGGAACAGGCACACTCGCAGAGGGGTTTAGGGTTTAGCAATGTCCTTGCAGATTCGACTTCATATGATGTGCACCTGTTTCTGGTTCGGGTTCAGTGTTGCGGGTATTCGACAAATTGTGTTAGTCACTAAGAGGTTTAGGGTTTAGCTTGTATGTCAGGTCCACGTCATCGTGACGGTCCCGGAGAAGTGGGTGTGTGGACTCAGACAAGCAGGGCTTCTGGTGAGAAAGCTTTGGGTGTGAGGGTCTTGGTAGGATACTAGGAGGGTACTAGAACCATATGAGTTTCTTGGGTGCTTTTGATTAGTCCACGTCTTCGGGGCTTCATGGATTCATATCTTCCGGGGATCGGCAAGAATGAGCTTGCGCGGTCATTGTAGAAGGTGAGTAGCTTAAAGACTGTGGTGCCTAAACCCTAAACCTGTGGTGTTTAGATCTAAGGTTCACTAAGAACTTCCAGTGCCAGGAATGTTGAGTTTAGACAAGGATCGTTGCAGTCAGGTGGGGCTGTTGATTGTGATCTTAAAACGTCTTACGGCGCCTATCCCCTTGTTACGGCATGCATGCGGGGTGTGGGGTTTAATCTCGCACAGCTTAGACATTCTATAAGGATCTCCAATTTAGTGCAAACCTTCCACAGAGGGGAGTAATTACAGTGAAATTGCAAGCACGTATATAGTGACTGGAGTAGGGTTTTGAGAATGTACTGTGCTCCAGTAAAAGAAAGGTCTGTCAGGCAACATCATCGCAGAAAATGCGTCCTTGACATCATGCTAGAGCGACTGAAGATCAACTAGGGGTGTTGGCTCACTGTTGCGGGTCCAGGGTGTGCGACATGCTCGCGCCGATCAGGAGGTTCCCCCAAAGTCTTTCTGAAAAGACTATTGGAGCGCTCAGGTTGTGGTGTTTGTTGAACTTATTTGCCACAAGTAAAGCCTCCAATCAGAGTGTCGGGCTATCAAGGGTGTATGGCTTATAGGGCTTTGTGCGACAATGTTATCAACCCTAAACCCTGAACCCTCGGCCGCCTGGGCGAGTGTTGCCCCAAACATGTAAGCCTTTGCCTTCTCAGGAAAAAAAGTTCTGGGTTCGACCTGTTCCTTAGCCATTAGAGTAAAGTTTTCGGGTAGTTTATTGTACGTAGTTTATCATAGGGAACCCTTCAGAACAGTACTACCAGCTATTCCAGCCCTCATACGTAGTCTATTTTCGGATTCAGGACTCTCCTGTAGCCCGGAACCCTATCTTGTAGGGTTCCTCATGTAAGGCTTCTTTGCAAATTCGAAACGGAGATTTCGGGGGCTACAGGTGGGGCCTAGCACCTGCAAAAAGATGTGCACAATTCTTAGTTTGGATTTTAGTGGTACGGTTAGGGGTCGGGCTTTGTTTCCAGAGAGTCTGCCTTTCTAAGGACGTGATGACCCGAAACACAGCCTGCGGAGGTGGACAGTTGCCTGGCTGGCATTTAACCATGCTCGGTTTGGGGTCAAAAAGATCCTTAAACCCTAAACCCTAAACCCTAAACCCTGACCCCTAAACCCGAGAGTCTTAAGGCTTGCATGGTGTTCAGGCTTCTGGCTAACCCTAAACCCTAAACCCTGAATTTAGTGTTTAGGGTTTATAGGGTTTAAACCCTAAACCGTAGCTGGGACTTTGCGTACATCACATGTTCCTGAACCCCAGCACGAAAAGGCTCTCAACCTCTCTTGACCCTATCAATCAACCCTACATCCTTCTACTAAGCCCATTTTAGGGTTTAGGGAGTTAGTAATGTTCCCTTGTTGTGGCAACTCTACGGCACGGCACACCGAAATGCGAAACCCTGCCGGTGATTCTATTTCTTGCTTGCCTCGAACATGCTGTGTATATACAAAACAGTTTTCTTCTAGGAAGGTGCTGCGTGCTTGCCCCTAAACCTTGCACAATGCTATACACGTCCCTATGGGAGCCCGATGTAAAGAAACTCCACAAGACCCTCGTTTCATCATCAAAGCACCTAAAGTAACACAGACCTAAAGTGTGACGCCGGCCTCTCGTCGTGAGTCGAAGACTCATCTGCAGCAGTATGGAAATTTGCATCATTTCCAACGCGATTTCTTGGGCTTCCCTGTTGAGGTTTAGGCCATTAGGGATTCAGGGTCATCGGTTGGGGAAAGCCACCTTTATAACTTCAAAGCAACATGTGTTGTTATATTTGTGTGTATATATATATATATATATATTTATATTGTTTTTATATTCACATATATTCATGTATCAGCACCTTCTTCTGATTAGTAATGTGCCTTTAAATCAGTGATATGTGTCCATACTGTCCCTACATGTCATGATAATATACTATACTTTTCTTGGAATCATCGAGGACCCTATATATACACCACATAAGATTTCATCGGACCCCTGTACTGTAGTGAGCGGGGGGGCTT